TGTGGGGATGTCGGGAAATGTGCAGGATATTTTAAGACACAAACACACACACACACGTAGAAACATGTGCAGACACATGGATGCAGGCAGACACACAGCGAGGGCAAATACAGTACATATGCACTAGGAAATCGGCTATAGCAATCTTTCACTCTCTACACTTCGCAGTGGATAGTAACTACTTAAATAGGGCTTTCATACAAAAATACTTAAATAAACTTTTTAACACACCCACGTAAACACAGTCCGGTGAAAATTCATACTATAATTATATAAAATATGAATGTATTTTGTTTGTGTTAATTTTATAAAATGTTTAACTATTATAAACCAAGTTCTATTTAAATTTTTAATGAGAGTATATTTGTTACCGTTGTAAGGCAACAAAGCTAAGCAATTAGCTAATCATTGGTTATTTTTAACAATTTACTGGTGTCAAATATATGTCATAAGTCATGTTACCATTTAAAAGGTTATTACAACCCTAAACAAAGACATTCTTTCATGTTTCTGATGCTAAAACGGGACACCGAATCGCCACAGGGTATTTCAAAGAGTGGTTATCATTTACTCCAGCACACAAGAAGCTTTCAATTAAGTGTTCCATGAGTGAGAAAAAAAATCTCAGCAGAAAAAAGGAGAGCAAATGAGAGAGAATAAGAGTAAATGGGAGCGAGGAGTAAAAGATGTGAGATTTTACAGAGGCCCAAACCACAAGAAAGTCAGGGCTGAATGCATACTGGACATTCCCCGGGCCGGCACTCATGTAGTTGGAAAAAGGCTGCTTTTTCAAGACAGGAAAATGATTTCAGCTGTGTAAATTGACAGTGGCCTTGTTGCTGAAGATGAAGAGGGAGAAAGAGGGGAAACCTGCAGCTTCGTCATAACTTCTGCTCGCATAGAAACTGCTGGGGGCCTACTCCTTTGGGGAAACTAAATTCAACATCACATGATCATATGAAAGTGTTAATTGTTGCCAAATGAACATGGTGGTGGATATTACCACCATGGTAGCTTCACTTTACAGCAATGTAGTCAAACAGGTTTGTTTTACCTTCTTTGAAGAAATCTATCTCCTCTAAATGATAAATACACTCTGTATCCTGAACATAGTAAGGCTGAAAGGGAAGCTGAGAAGCTTTGATGTGTGTCAGAAACAGCGTTAGTAAAACAGTATCAAGATATGTTCCATCAAGATGTTTACACATGCTTGCTATTTTAGCCTTCACCCTTCTCTCTTCTCACGTCTTGTCGTCTAGGGTGGCATTACAGTAAATTTTGGTTTTAGACACCGTGAGGCAATCATTTCATGTACAGTAGACAATAACAGCATAGCTTCTTAGATCAGTCATTCAATTATGACAACGGATGTAATTAGTGGTGGACTTTAAACAGAATTGCAGCAAATGGCTACTGGGGCTCACAGACATATTTCTTCCTATAGCCACAGTTGGTTATAGATTGTAAACACACATTGGTTTGCATGATTACAGACTCTCCGTATGACTTTCTCTGTGCAACTTGGGGGAGCACGCTCAGTAGAAGTCAGTACAGATAAAGTGCAAAACGGTGCCTAGTAATGTTAAGTCAAAAAGTCCCCAATCTCAGGGTTATCAATCATGTGACTCAGAAGTGTGATCATCCTAAATTGGAGGGCTGATTTGAACAGAGAAGGTGGGGAGGATAATGCATGGTTAGGAATGGAAGAATGAACACAGAGAGTGGTTCAACATAATTCCTGGGTTTCACTGCAGAGGGAAGTGGTGGTTCTTGGCTTCTGTGTGCAGAGGTTACGGGGATGACTGAATGTGAGTGTGTTTGTACACATTGCCATGCCCGCTGCTCGTGTTTGTGACAGAGTATGCATATGTGTATTTTTGTATGCACTGCAATTTGGGTGTGAATGTACAACTGAGTGCAGGTAAGTTATTGTGTTTGTGAGTTATGTGTGTATGTGTATATTACACGCTTATGTGCGTGTGGAGGGCTACATGGTAGCGTGTCTGCTCAGGCGAGGGTGGAGCATTGTGCGATGCAATCTATGTCTATGAGCAGATGTGGGCACCACAGCCACAGAGCCACCAATCCTCTAACTACCAGAGGTAGAACATTACTGGCCAGTATGGGGTGAAATTGCATGGCTGGTCTAACAGGTTTTTGGGGTGAAAGTCTGAGAAAAACTCCAGATTATTTTCCATGCCCACAAAGTCATCATTTATCATCTGACATTATAACAGCATGGCCAGCATGTCAACAAGATAAATCTAGGTTCAATTTCCATGGAAACAGAGCAGTTACATCCCATTAGCTGCACTAACTTGTACCAAAACAAACAGCAAACATTTCAGTACAGTACACTGTGTGCGAGTGGTGAGGATAAAAAATACCCCCAAAAGTTCCTACAAAACAGTAGCTATGGTTACTGATCAATACCATCCTTCCTCCAATACATCAAATGGGAAAATGAGAGCCTGTGATGGAGAAAGCTTGGACAGTGTAGAACAGACTGCAGTATTCCCCTAAAGTTTGTCTTGAGGGTTACACAATGCCAGACAGACCCATAGGCCTAGACACTCTCTGGCTCCCTGCTCGATGCAATCACCTACATATGACACTTTAACCAACTGAAGGCAGCAATGAAACCTAAAGTGGCCTCTCCTCTCCCTTTGTTGTCCACCTTCCTTTTTTCTTTTTCTTCATTTCACGTCAGCTCACATCTCACTTGCAGCTGCACAAAGCATTAGGCACCACTTTTATCTCCCTCATTACATGTGTTTGCCAGCTCCATATCTGCCCATTCGCAAAACTGCTCTCTCTCTTTCACACACATACGCGCTGTGGGGCTGTGGTTTTGAGGCAGCTATGACACAATCCAGATTCTTTTAGCTGCCTATAGCAGGGAAATGTGTTTTGTGCGGAACTATTTTCCTCCGAAGTCCAGATTTTCCCTGCCTTGCAGCTTTGATCCACATGGCACGGGGGGCTTATGTCAACAGTTTTGTGTTTCAGCTGGAGGGCCCGGCGGACCCCCAAGGTGTCACTCACTGCTTTCTGTCATTGCAGGGGCAGCTTTACCACTATGAGGTGCTGTTATCCACTGCATCCTAAACTCCCCCATTGAGACAGCAAGCATCACAACAAGACAGATGGGCACCCTTATACACATACATAAAAATTGATCCCAAAATCCTTTGCTTCACAGAGAGCTTTATAGACAATGATTTCAAGTCAGAAAAATGTTAGTGGCACCTTTAATGAAGTGTGGCCACCAAGCATGGTTTGTGAAAGTTTAATACTACTAGTGGTGGGTGTGTTTTCAAAATGCAATGTGAGAAAGCTGTATCAGTGTGACCAGATTTAATAACAGGAAAGCAGGGGTGCAAAGACTCACCGAAACGAACCAGAAATCGACTTTAACTTTAACGATATGAATACATCAATCCGCGGGCCTCTAGGTTGATCTATATCTACTGTGGCACCGTCAATGTCCAGTTGTAAAGTTATAAATCAGTTGATTGGAGTTCTGATACTAAATATGGCTGCTGCAGTCTTGCGAGACTCCCACTGTGACGAGAGTTACGTTGTCTAAATGTGTTTGCTAGCAACAGCAACACAACAGCATGGCTGACAGCACCGGTGTTCCAGGTTAACTGGCGATGCTTGCTGTATGCTCCAGATGTTCCGTTCACAGATTCATCCCGACCAGACCTGCCTGTGTGTGTGTGAAGATAAAGACACTACACAAAAAAGCATTTACCTAAAAACATAAACATCACTCGTTAATGAAGTCTCTATCCATGTCAATATCATCTACAGACGGCAAAACGAAACATGCTGGCCAAAATAAAAAATATATTTTTCAAGTTTGGTGAGAGATTCGAAACCATGTAGTCGTGTGGTAAAAATATGAGTTCAGCATGCTACTCATCGTGCCACCGATCAGCTCGATTAGGATCCTTTCTCATTCCTATACATCTTTTCCATTCTGTCAGATGTTTAACACCAGGTGATTATTGAGGAAACACGCCCAGATCAACTGGTGATAGTCACAACCTAACACAGACACATGCTGCTTGTTCAATAATGACACACAAAACATAGTATTGTCTGACCAACAAAACCTACAACACACCGGATGGAAATTAGCCTTGTGCTAAATCCAGCGTATTTATAACAACCTGAGATTGTACGTACATTAATGCGCACTGTCCCGTCTAAATAAATAAATAAGAAGCAAGTTGTGCTGTGTCGTGTTGTGTTGTGTGTTAGACTGTGCATTCAGTGTTAGAGATACAGAGCAGAAGTTGAAGCTTAACTCGGGTTTGCTCACCGAAACACACCCACCAGAACAACATGAAGCACATTAGTTTGGTTTGATAAAATGCATCATAACAAACTGAGCTGAATGTTGAATGTTTTCGGCTTGCAAAGTTTATGGATTGCAATATAATGAAGGGATTAATGTTAATATTTTCTCATATTCAATACAGCAACAGTCTGTCTTGTCTGTGTATTCAAAAAATGAACACGATGACAGTGTTCTGACCTGATACATTTCTCTTAATTTTTTACCACACCAATAGATTCAAGCTGCATCGCATCGAATCAAATCAAATCGCATCGTAATGCATTAAAATGTACCGTAAGTGAATCGTATCGTAACCCATGTATTTAGATTCATATCAGATTGCCTCTTAAGGTAGAAATGCACACCCCTACAGGAAAGGTGTTGGAGATGACAGCTAAAATGTGGAAAACAGGAAGGGAAACTGGGAGGTAGACTGTGTGACAAATCCTGTACACCCTATTGCATTTAACAAACTGCTAGAGAGAACAGAAGGAGAAGATCAACTAAACACTCGTGAGTCCACTCATTGCTGTTCTTAACAGTTCTTTTTAAACAGCAAATTTCCACCCTCCTGTCTATCAGTAAAGTCTGAACAAAACATGAATACATGATTGTAGCAGAGGAGCTTTGTTGAAAGGAGAGTTTGTCTTACTGGTAGATGTCTTTTCGCAATACTGTGCGGGTCAGTGGGTTATCAGCCTGAGGAGCCATGCTGAGGGAACCAAGCTTTAAAACTACAGTGTCTTCTTTCTTCACATGGGGATCTACAAGGAAGCATAAAAATACACACAAAATATAATACACTCAATATGACATACATTAACCTGATCATGTTAAAAGTGTGGTTTATGTTAGTTGACCTAAGATCGGGTGTAAGTTAAGTTTTGGTCGTTGGACGCTTAACAGAAGCCAATATACGACGAAATCAGGTCTGCAAGATCAAAGAATTGCAGGCGAGCAGGTATTTATTCTGGTACATTAATTAAGATTTTCTGACAGGGCTAATGGCCAAAGACAACTTCTTAAGGTTTTTGATTATATGCAACATTGCAGCAAAATAAATTTGGTCGATACACTTTTTAATGGACGACGTCAGGAAGGGCTGCTGAGTCCATTCACAAGTTTGGTATCAATACATTAAACCAGTGGTCCCCTACCTTTTTTGCACCGCGGACCGGTGTTCAGTTTTCCGCTGCATTTAACAGTTGCTGAGATATTAATTCACTTCCTGTTTGGTGGCTTTAACAGCAACGATTTACCATAGCTGAGAAATGATTTTGAAAATCTAAAATCCAACGTTTCTGAGGCAAAAATGCATTTTTGCTAATTGTAGTGCCCCCCTCATGGTCAAATACAGCAAAGTTTTATGTGCTTCGTGAAAAAGCTTCTGGAGTGCATGAGTGTGTCAAGTTTGGTTTTGTGTCTGATATGTGACCTCATTTCCTGTTTGGCAGTTCTGCCCATCTACTGTGATGAACAAATCCTTCTGAAAATCAATAATTTGTGAGGATCAGTCTGAAAATCAGCCAATTTTGATAAAGGTAATAAAAACTTTATTTTTTTTTTAATTCAATTGGACATTATAGGGGGCTGCAAGGTGGTGCAGTTGGTAGCACTGTTGCCTCGCAGCAAGAAGGTTGCCGGTTCGCGTCTCAGTGGGGGCACCGGAATCTTTCTGCGTGGAGTTTGCATGTTCTCCCCGTGCAGAGTGGGTTCTCTCCGGGTTCTCCGGCTTCCTCCCACACAGTCCAAAAACATGTTGAGGTTAATTGGTGATTGTAAATTGTCTGTAGGTGTGAATGTGAGTGTGCTTGGTTGTCTGTCTCTATGTGTGGCCCTGCGATGGACTGGCGACCTGTCCAGGGTGTCCCCTGCCTTCACCCTAAGTCAGCTGGGATAGGCTCCAGCCCCCCCACAACCCTCATGAAGATTAAGCGGTGTATAGATGATGGATGGATGGAGTGACATTATAGAGTGCTTGATCCAAGTAATCAACTGTGCCTAATTTTTGAAAATCAGGCATAAGGTTCAGAAGATTCCTTCATCAATGTATCTTTACGTTCAACCTACTGTTGGTGCTAAAGTGCTTGAGGTGCAGACCTGAAGCTTGGTGGAAAGAATCTAGGGACTGCCCTCAATCACTCATATTTACAAACTTTTACCATATGGTTCCATCGGCTGCCCTACAAAGAAGAGGGTGATGCATAAAAAGAACCACCAAGGGTAGAAACACAACGGTTGCTTACTTAGCTTCAGTGTTAGGTCCCAAATGTCTTACTATGACAGTGAAGTGCACTAGTAGACGGAAGGCAAAATGTCATTCGGCACAATTTTAAAAAATGTGACCATACACAATACACATGATAGATGCATGCGCCATTACACAAAGATATACACACACATATACACAAACACACTCCCACAAAGACCCTTCAAAGTGCAGTCTTACCACCATTAGTCATTATAATCCAACCAGCAGACAAAACAAGACTCCATGCATCTCTGACAATTTTCTTTTTTCTAGGAGTAAATATAACTGTGGCTTTTCAGGCCCGCAAATTTTTTTTTTAGCAAATGTCTTTGCATACTAATGCGGTGGCTTTTCCATGTCTGGTTGACCATGACAGGGACTTTTATACAGGCACCACAGACTTCAGGAATCCAAAAAACACAGCCAATGACACAATACTGTGCCATTGTTCTAAAGTTTTCCATGTGTGTTCAACAGAGAAAAGTAATCCTCTAACCTGTGGCTGTATGTTTGTCTTGTGTTCCAGGGCAGAAGACCCTGATCACACTAGTGTTGATGTAGATGAGAGGCAAACACCGTGAGGTCAGTGTGTGGCTTCTCATTGGTTGCCCTGCTGACTTCCCACGCTCCCTGTAGCGTCTGGGTACCATCGCCTAAAAAGATATCACATCAGAAATAAAAATAATAAATTAATGCAATCAAGATTTTGTTGTTTTCATGGTTACTTCAAATAACAGAAATCTAAGTAAATCTTAGTAGTAGTAGCCTGTCACACGGCATTAATATGCATTGGGGTACAAAAAAAAAAAAAGTGAATCTTATTTGGTCTTACTAAATAACAGCACTATATTTTATCTAGTACAGTCAAATAATTTTACAGTGATGGAGTCAAGTTCTTTTGAGTAAAACTATATATAATTACCTCATTATGTTCCTACATTACTCAAACGTAATCTGGAATCAGTGCTTACAGTACCCACATGTACAAGTTTAAAAACACATTATACATACTACACTTATTACAACTGATGGATACTTCTTCTCTACCTGGAACACCCCTGCTACAGTGGCCAGTAAGGGACAGGATAGGACCACATCAAAGGGCTGCGCTGTCAGCAGGATTTCTCTCAGGTACTGAGGAGAGCTGTCTGCCAGAGGATCAGCGGCCACCCGCTGAACGGCAGTGGAAGCGCTGCTGCGTGTTGGCCGCTCAGGCCGGGTGGTGAGTTTGTGACGGACATTTTTGGTGACAGCCTGAGTGTAGGTGATTGACAGGAAGCCATGTTGCTGGTGAGAGCCCTCCAGGACTTTAGCTGCAGTCTGGCCAGTGGTGACACAGGAGAAATGAGACTGATGACAGATATCGTTACACAGAGTAATCAAACACACAAATATGTCATTTTAGTTTTATTTTGCCCTGATTTCTGGGATGAGGGTTAAGCCTGACTGAAAATAACATAACTTAAGATTTTACAG